ATCCATATTGGCAGTGGAGCTGTTGCTGGTTGACATTGTTAAGTTTAGTATTGACAGTAGGAGTATGTTGTATTCTCAGTTTTCAGTGTGTTAGTATTCTTTCGCTCTGTAGATGGCGCAGTAAATGCTAGTGTACGGAAGAAAGTGTACCATAGACTGTTGTGTTAGTGAAGTGACAGGTCTCGATGCTTCGATAATTCAACAGGTGAACATGACACATGATCCAGTCAACGAGGCTCAACTGGTCAAAGAATTGAAGGTAACACCACGCATGGTTGGTCCGCGTGCTACTCCACATGTTTTAAATTTATCTGTTATTTAGGATGAGGCTGAACAGCGCAGAGGCTTTGAAATCGCGACGCAAGGGAAGGTCATACCTAGTGGCCCAGCTGAAAAAGTAGAGGAAGCTGCTAAGAATCTAGAAAGAGCCTTAAGTCTTGATGGTAATATTGATAATAGCGCGACTACTCTGACAGCGGAGCAGTCAAATGAAACACTCGGGTTATTAGATGTACCGCCCGACGAAGGAATTTCTGAGTCTGTAGAATGTGAACGCTTATCCGAATTAAAAAAAGTTGTCAGTGATCACGCGTCTAAGGAAGCGGAAACAAATAGAACCGGTGTGAGTAGGGGAAACACTACTGCCCTTTCCCGTGAGTATTTGATAGTGAAATTGTGATGATCGCTTACAAATTATATCTTTGTATTGACTACTTTTGTTCAGAGAGTGCAATGGACAAATATGTAACGGCTATTAGTAAAGAGGCAGGCATCGCTCCTTCAGCGATTAAAGATGTTGATATGGCCGTTAAACCAGTCGATGAGACTCGACTTGCCAAAGAATTGAAGGTAGAATACATTATCACGGTTACGCATGCAAAGTTTGATAATGCTTATACGATTTTTCACGTGCCATTAGAATGAGGCCGAACAACGCAAACTCTTTGAAATCGCGACGAGAGGAAAGGTTATACTGCGTGGTCCAGCCAGAAAAGTGGAAGAAGCCTCCGAGAGGCTAGAAAGAGTCACACATCTTGATTAGATTGCTGACTATAAAGGGAGGGTTTTGTTGTCGAAATTAAACATTCATTGCAAAATAGATAATGTAATTCGGGTTTCTTGATAATAAAAGGTATCCAATAATAATAAAAAAATAATTTGAAAAATTGTACTTCAACTGTCTATTCAATAAATTGCACATTTCAAAAGAAGTCTAATAACCTCACTTTATTATGATGATAACAAAGAGGAGTAAGAATAACGTAATTGTCGAAGGATTAGTTCTTTTCGCTATAATTAACCCAGACGATGAAATCTTTCATTCATGCAATTTGTGTCACCCAACGGGCTAACTGACGGTACTGCAACAAAAGCTCTTGTTTGCGGTTCAACTACATTGGATATTACGCATAAATTCACTTAACAATGTCTGACTTTAGTGAAGCCTTCGTTTAACGAAGAATGGATTGCATGTATTTCATTAGCTCACTTAGGCGAACTTATCAGGTCAAAAATTGTGAAACGAATGTTTTCGTTAAAGTATTTATCATTAATATCGCATATTTCTTTACGTGTTACAAGTAAAAACGATATTTTATTAGCCACCGTTCTTTTAACAAAATACATAGTTTACGTAGGTAGCGACGGGAGCTAAAGACTTTCGTATCGGTACGTGACGTACACATAGTGTATGTCGTACATTTGTTTTATTTTCGGACGCGTTTTGTTGTACAAAATTATTTTTCGCGTGCGTGAAAACCTAATTAAAAAGATGTCCTGCACTAGATATTGTAGCACCATGATGTCGTGGCTTGTGATCAATATATACGTACGTGTAAGATGATATCTCGCTCTGCATGCCAGCCGATTAATTTCTTTAGCGTGACAATGTATCATTTATGACACAGTACTTATTCATTGAAACCATCACATGTTAAGACGTATTAGAATGACTGAAATTACTTTGTTCTTGTATCGGCCTAAGCTTAAGACAATCATTACTAAAGGATCGTGCAAAACGATTTTCGTTATAGCTCAAAGCTAAGGATGCTGATCATATTAATAACACTAATAATTTATAAAGATAAACAGTGACGTCACATGTTTGCAGGACGCACCCAATGTTAAAAGTCGCTATTCAACGCCCTCTATATAGTCTTATTTTGTGGCTAATACTTTACTATCTGTCGCAATGAGATCTTCCGTCGCTAATACTTTGACTTCATTAGTAATCTTAATATTTCAGGCTTTGGTTCCGAAAGTGAAAATATGTCATTATGAAAACATACAATTATAGAATGATTTCATATTTACATTCCATTCTTTGATTACACAATATAAATATACTGGTATATATATTAGAGACTCACACTAAACCCAATTACATTCAGATCACGATGGATACACCTGCGTTGTCAAACGATACTTCAGAGCAAGTAGCATTTCAAGTATCAATTCAATCCACCACCACATCGCGAATACCACTCTCTGAAGCGCAACAAGAAATACCAGAAACACCCAGACCATCGCCTGTATCCTGCGAGGTGTACCACGAGGGAATTCCCGCATCGGTAGAACACAAACGCTTATCCGAACTAAAAAAAGTCGTCAGTGAATATGCGTCAAAAGAAGCGAACGTAAATGGACCTGGCGTGGCCAAAGGAAGTGCTACATCTCTTTCTCGTGAGTATTTACGGCATCGTTTGCATTTCTATTACATATTGTCTTCTACAATCTTATAACATGATTAGAGAGTGCAATGGGCAAATATGCGACGGCTATTAGTAAAGAGACAGGTATCCCTCATTCGGCAATTCAGACCGTGGAGATGGCGGATAAACAAATCGATGCGACACGACTAGCCAAGGAATTGAAGGTAACACCATCTCGATTCTGCATGCAATGTTGATATTTGTGCTCTTCTACCATGATTTTTTCACGTGCTATTAGGTTGAGGCCGAACAACGCAAATTCTTTGAAATCGTGACGCAAGGAGAAGTCATACCGCGTGGTCCAGCCAAAAAAGTGGAAGAAGCTTCCGAGAGGTTGGAAAAAGTCGCAAGTCTTGATGGTAATACCGATAGTAATGAAGCCACTACGACGATGCCGGAAGGGGGTGAATCCGTGCGCGAATGCGTGCCTCCGTCTGTTGGAATGGAATATCTTACAGGTTTAACGGATAATGCGACTGTTGAAGTAATTTTTGAGACAGACGATAGTTCAACCTTTGCTCGTATGTATTGCTGAATGGATGGTGTTGGAAACTTGGTGAGATTTGTGCATAGATAAATTCCAAAGATGATCTCTTTAACGAATATGCATTTCCCGCTACGGTCGTAGAAGCCAATATTTTACCAGATGAAACACAAACTACAGACACAGAACCTCCGCACAGACGCCAGCTAGGGGATGAATTGAAGGCGAGTAGAATCATGTGTACGAAACAAATTTATTGATAGACGCACTGATAGCTTTCCCCACACGTCCAATAGCAGGAAGAAGAATCAGCTATTCATGATACTCAAGAAGCAAGCGATTTATTAGCGAATATGCTGGAAGAGGCGGTCGAGGACGAAATCGTCGATAGGGTGACTGAAATGTATCCGCTACGTTCACCTCAAGCAGATCTTACAGGTTCGGTGCCCGAAGATATCCCACATGAACAAGAGCTTGCTCACTTGGCTGCTTTGAAATATGTTGCTCTCAGACATGATCGTGAGGATCAAGTAGAACGTGGTAGGATTGTGAGTCTTATACGTAAGTTTCTTATATTGAATTGCGCGTTGTATGTCTGTTGTATTGAATAACATTGAAACTTACGACTCTTGCTATTTACAGAGAATGCAATAAGCAAATATATGGCGGCTATGTCTGCAGAGACAGTAATGCCTCCTTACCAATCCGCGCAACAAAACGTCGAACTCCCAGAAGAAATAGATGAAGAGAAACTTTTGCTAGCCTTAAAGGTAGGACCGTGTCAAACTGCGTGACGATTGAGAGAGATTACTCTAAACAATGTATTTGCAATACAGCTTGAGGTTAATCGACGTCGTAAAAACGAAATGTGCGGAAGTGGGAAATTAAAAGGCGAGTCAAATTGGCCTGCTGCTATGGCAGAACAAGCCGTTCAGTCATTTGAAGAGGCCGTCAAAGTGTCGAAAATGATTAAAGAGCCGAGCATCACGACCGTCACTACTACTAACATTGTCCATAGTGGTTTAGTATGTTGAATTGATGACCATGTATATATAGCACTTTTTTAAAATAAATATTTTTGTCGAAATATTTGATCAAGTGATCATCGAACATGTGACTGAAATCTTGCATACTGCGCTCTACATTACATTTTCTTCCGTACCGCTGTCAGCTATGGCCTCTGCTGAACTAGTTGAACAAGACAAACATGTGCTGACACCCGAATTCGAGGAATCATCTTTTGAAATTGTAACCCAATATATTTCAGATGACGCATCTTCTTCAAGATCAACGAGATGTCGGCTCGGAAAACACGAAAAGCGTCAAATGGATCGTGAACAATATAAAGCTTTATTAAAAGAAAAAGACCAAAAAAGGAAAGAAGAGCGTCGCAAGAGAAGAGAAGCAGGTTGTTTAAATGATTAGTCGTTATGGTAAATAGTAGGGGATATGTTTTCGCTCATGTGGTTGAATCCCCTTTGTACAGGAACTTTGCCTTTGAAAACGAAACCCGTCAAAATCAATAAATATCCATCGTCTATGTCACTAGTAATTGATCTATCGTTTGATGAATTAATGACAGATAAGGTAATAATGCCACTACGGATTTAATGGTTGTTATCAGTTGTCAGTATTCATCGATTGTGCTTCACGTCTATTAGGAAATTACAGATTTATCTAACCAGATGAACAGATCTTACGGGGCCAATCGCTCCAGTTGGCGTCCGGTCAGACTGTATTTCACCAGTTTCGGTGGTCGCATCAAAGAACGATTCATGTCAAAAGTTAAAGATTGGGAACGATGGAAGGATGTCACGTTTACGGAAAAATCCTTTGAAGAAGTGTTTGTCGACACAAGCAAGATAATCTATTTGACTGCAGACGCAGATGAAGTATTGACCGATTTGAATGAAGACGAAGTTTATATTATTGGAGGACTGGTAGATAGAAATAGGCACAAGGTATGTCTTTTTAGCTTGCTTGATATATTGTCTACGCGTGTAAGTGCTAACGCGGTTTCTCTATAGGGCGTCTGTCTACGCAAGGCGCATGATCTAGGAATAGCATCCGCAAAGCTGCCAATATCTTCATACATCACAATGAAAACGAGATCTGTGCTGACTGTCAATCACGGTATGTCTTTGTTATCTTTATAACACGTTTCGCAAGTCGGTCAACACCTAACAACTCTTTATCAAATAGTCGCCGAAATTATGATATCATACGTCAACCGACAAAACTGGGAAAAGGCATTCAACGATATCATTCCCAAGCGAAAGTTTCATCTATTAGGAAAGAAGGAACGACGAAAAGAAGCCAAATCTCATGAAAATAATCTTACAAAAGAGGACTTTATTGATAATAGTCTATTACATAGATCAGAGTCTATGCCACAGCTACCACATTTGGGTAGAGATGACAGGAATTCATCCTTGGGTTTATTAAAAGCATCTAAGTATTCTAAGCATATTAGTCTCCACCGGTCAAAGTCCATCTAATCTTCACCAGCAGGAACTTCTTCTTCTAGACGTCTGAGTAATTTAATCCGCATTTCCGTCTGTTCGTCTCCCCGCAGTACGTCACTTACAAAAGTAGCTTCTACTTGCATCTGCACCTAAATAATCAAATAA